AGTTTGTAATAATAACGGTAATAATCAATAAATAGAAAGAACGAGAGGTACGGTCGTGCTGTCTCATGAGAGTGCTTCATACGATTGAAATTCGCACTGGCCCATCGGATATCTGCTTATTCAATTTTATCATCAGTATGAGATGTAACCTTTTTTTGAATGCCAATGTTTACGGTAGGAGACGAGCTGAGGCAATGAAGAATTCGCCTCATAATTATTTGCTTCAACGACAATCGAAAACGAGTTAGGGAGTTATTCTGTTTATTGTTCGGCACTTTCCAAAAAGGAATTTAATTTACTTTGCTTCAGAGCAGAGAATGCTCATCAACTTCCATAATTAGAGTCCGCCACATTGAGGTAATTTTAATGAATGATCAAACTAGCTTAATTTTAGCGGCTTTATGACTTTCAAGCAAGAATTGCTTCCAAACATGTGAATTGCTGTATTTGGTTTGGTCCAGGTTCAGAGTTAAACGGCACAGATTTTATTGCCTTCACAACTGTAAACTTTTCTGGTTCCATGAACCAAGGACCAAATCATAGTCATTCAGTCGGTCAGAAAGTCGGTTTCAATGGCCGTTATTTTTTGGGTCACGGAGCCAGGTGCTTTCAATTTCCCTGATCCTGCACTTCAACGTTTGAGTTCCAGCAGAAGTTAACCTGAGTCTGGAGCACAGTCCTTTGGTCATTTACCCAGGTTATTCCTGGCCATCCCAGGAGTCTTCGGTCGGTCGATTGAGCTAGTAATAGCTGTTTTGTCTTCTTTTCTGGAGGCATTCGCATGACGCGCTCAGAACATCGCAGCGGTGACTTCTCAATCTGGAGAAGCAGCCGCTGTGCACCAAGGTTCTCTCGAATATCTCTACTCCGGATCATGTTGAGGTGCCTGGGGCCAGTGATTATTTCAGCTGCTAACAAATTTGTTTGAAAAAAGAAGTCACAAAAATAAAACGTTCCCAACCTTGCACAGGATTCCTTTTGTTTCGACGATGAACTGCCTTCGAAGATGCGTTAGGGCGTTGCAAGTGCTTCTTCTTTGCACTCTAAGGGCTTTGGCATCTCCGTAACCCAGAGCAATTTCGCTATTCTCTTCCTTCTCAACTAAAAGTGTCGCTGAGATGACGACTTCTTTGAAGTTTTTCTCAGTTTCAGTGACGCTGCCACTTTCCGAATGAGCACTAAGAATCGCTTTAAATAACTCTCTTTCTCCATTTTTGATAGGCTGACCGCGCCGCTTCATTATGCTTTAGGCTATCAACATCGAGCAGTTGTTGTGTTTCAACCAAACAACATAGATGTGTCACGGCTAATTTTAGACGAAGTTTTAGAGCTGTATGGTGATCTGACCCGATGCAGACATCAGGCCTGATGGGAGTCTCTAGTAACGAGCTGCGCTATCTGAGGTTGATGAGGACATAGCCTAGTTGTATGTTCAAGTTTCCATCGGGGGGACGTCCAGGGAATTAGTGAATGCGCTGATGAGTGACCAAGGTTCCGCCGACGATTAAGCCGTCTGTCGCACAAAAGCTTAACAAACGCCTGCCGTTGTAATTTGCTCTGTTTTAGCCGTGAGAGCGGAGTATGTCGGACCATGTGCTGTACTCAGAACCCACCTTCACGTTGTGGTCGCCTGTGATAATTGTGACGTCTTGACGTAACAAGAGCCAACAGCCGACTGTCAACAGCAATAAAAAGCGTCCTTATTGCTGTCACTCGACACATTTGTCGGGGCATAATGGGTACAGATATTTAGCTTCGTTTGTATGGCATTCATGCAGTAGACGAGGGGATTCTCTCAGCCACTTACTGCATAGAAATGACAACCCGGCTTACCCTCAGTACAGGAAGACACACACATCGGCACGGCGTAATCTACTGTTGCCTGACCGCCAAAATAATAACCGATCCTGCAGGTTAAGCGCCCCCTTTCCCGGAGGCGAGCTTCCGTCACCACCGGTACATCGAATTTGTACCAGCGGGTAGACATCGTTTAAATTACCTTCACCAGACGTTCCAACACGCAACACGAAACTTACTTGTTGTTGTGTTTATTGGTAGACTCATGGATGTTTTGGTTCCCAGTTGATTGGTAAATCGCGAGTGTTAAGCGTTCCCTACGAAATCGACCTTATAACGAACGAACAATAGAATAGAACATAATTGACACAATACAGCGCATGACTGTTGCATTAATGCCTTGCAAGTTTTATCCGATGAAATTTTGACGATCTTCACTTTTAGTTTCATTTGAAGCTTTATCAGTGTTAATCAAAAGCCACTGCCTTTATTTACTCCACCTATCATTAAATCATTTTTGTCTTAACAGATAAATATGATTGGTAGATTTGTCATTTGTATTTTCTGTTTTTCTTTCTGTTTCTTTGCGGTTTTCTTTCTTGTTTGTGGTTCATCTTCTTCCTGGCAGTATATCCAAGAGTACATTGTTTGGATTTCTTGCTTTGTTACACCATTCATTAATTTATATCTGTGTAGGAATGGTATGGATCTATATCGTTATGTCGTTCTTCAGCAGAATTCTGTCTGGAATCTCCGGCAGCTTATTTTCCGCCGTTTCCAAATACGCCCCGTTATTTTAGTACGCGTTCAAGAATGAAGCTGAGTCGTTTTCCACGAAGAATTGGACCCGCTCTAACGGTTTCTTTCCGATTACTAGTATGATCAACGTTGTATTCACTGTAAACCATGAAGCCAACCTCATTTTTCCTGGCAAATTGTTTGTTATTGCCAAGCATTGATGTTCGAAACTATTAAATAACTGATGATTATAGGACCGTTTTCGAACACTGCGCCCTTCAGGCAGGTGGAAACCACCTTACCGTCGAATGTCATTCCCCTGATCCGAATCTGATTGAATCACTGCTAGGTGTAAATGTCCGGCAAAGCCGTTAAATGGTTCGTTGTTACAGCCGAGAGTCGTGGTCATAGGACAATCTTTTATAGCCAATAGAAGCTTCATTACATATGTAAAAACGGGCTCTCCCATCCTAATTTGTGCTCTTTTTTGATGGGTTGAAGGAATATGAACTGAATGCAAGAGTACCGGCGCTTAATGACTAAATTTAAGTGCAAGTCCCTTCGCGGAAGAAGTGATACTCACCTAAAATCATGCTCTCCCTTTACATCCTATGGACATCGTAACTTTAAGCACTAT